CGGAAGAGACACACGACCCAGCTGCACACACACACACACATATGCACACGTACACGCGCACGCACACGCACACGCACGCACAAACAACCAAACAAACAAACAAACACATAAGCGAACGCACACGCATGCACGCACATACACACACATACACGCACACACACACGCATCAATCATCATCATCATCATCATGGTCACTGCGGCTTACAGAGGGCTCCGCCAGCCTGTACGAGCTGAGGCAGAAACTCCAGCCCAAGGTGGAGAGAGCCCATGGCCCCGCTCTTCTCCTTCTTCATGTACTTGCGCCAGTTGAACACCTGCAGCACCAACGTCCAGTGTGGCTTCACATCGCTACAAAGGAATAAAGTCACAGCACATACACACACGCACATACGCACACATGCGCAAACACACGCACACACATATATTCGTGAGAAAGGCGGCATGGCACTGCATGGCAAGGTGATGGCTGTTTCGCAGAAGACACGATCACAACCCAAGGCTGACAGGAGTGCACTCACAAGCGAAACGTTTGGTTCCACACGGGGGAGAGCGTCTTCTTCGCTGGCTTTCCCTCATACTTGACGCCCCCACACTCGATCAGGAAGAAAGGGTCGGGTGTGCCTGTGTGTGTGTGTGTGTGTGTGTGTGTGTGTGTGTGTGTGTGTGTGTGTGTGTGTGTGTGTGTGTGGATGAGTGTGTTCATTAGTGGATGAGTATGTGCTCATGAGTGTGTGTGTGTGTGCGTGTGCGTGTGCGTGTGTGTTCATGAGTGTGTGTGTGTGTGTGTGTGTGTGGATGAGTACACGTTCATGAGTGTGTGAGTGGATGAGTATGTGTTCATGAGTGTGTGTGTGTGTGTGCGTAAACGTGCTTTTGCAATCTTTGATGTGCTGCTTGGGGCAATACCAAACAGAAGAAGCTGGTGAAGACAACCATCTTCATGCTGGTGGAGAAGACGCAGCTCACCAGCTGCACAAAACAAAGGCACAGCACAACAGCGGCCATACATGACCGTGGCCACCACTCACCAAAGAAGTCAGTCTTGCGCAGCCCGATGGCAGAGACGACTGTTCGTGCCACCAAACAGAGCGACAAGCGGCCATCGACATGATGGCGGTCAGCAGATGGAAGCGCTTGTGCGGATGCGTCTGTCAGGGCCACAACCCCGTACTACACTCGACACCACCACACAATCAATACGTACAGACCCACCCACACAACACCCAAGCGTCACCAAACAAGGCAGTTCATCCACGCACACACACACACACACACACACACACACACACACACACACACACACACACACACACACACACACACACACCTGTCACGGAGATGCGCAGCTTCCCGTCCATGTTGACACAGGAGGTGCGCCACCCCACAAGAGAAGGCACCAAACACGAAACACACACGAAAAACGTCGTTCTCGTTGCTTTCTTGGCTGTTGGCAGTCCTCAACCGAAAACAATTGGCGTGATATTTTTGGAAACGATTTCATGCGAGATTAACGGCCGTTGCCTGCAAGCACACGTGGTTGCCACGACAGGTGTGGCAGGAGGCGCACAGTCGCCTGTCATGGGAGTGGGAAGCGAAGAGAGATGGAAAGAGAGGGGAAGAGAAGGGGATGAGAAGGGGATGAGAAGGGGAAGAAGGCAAGGCAGGTGATGGGATGGCAAGAAGAAGAAGAAGTAACAACGTAGAAAAAGGAAAGAACAGCAGAAGACACACTCATAACACAACAGGAACACTGGCTTGGCTTGGCAAGAAAACGATGCGCTAGTGAACGAGCTCCTCTAACATATGTGTGCGCGTGCGCTGTAACACGTGAGGCGCTGCACATAACAAACGAGATGGGCGAGAAAACGATAACTAACACAAGCCTGCAAGCACCGCAAGCACCGCAAAGGAAGCCACAACGCTGCCAACCAATCAACCAACCAATCAACCAACTAATCAACCAACTAATCAACCAACGAATCAACCAACCAATCAACCAACAACAGACAACGTGCAAACATGGTGAGGGAAGGACGGAGAATGAGCCTCGCTGGCGTCAAAGCCTCACTCATCCAACACCATCACTTTGTGCATGGTGGCAAGCACGCCATGAGCAGGCTTGCACTTGAAGTAGCGATGGCCACGGATCGAGCCGTCGTTCTTGCCAAGTGGCTCGTCAAGCTCAACGCCGCAACGCATCGCACTCGTCACATGGTGCGGCCCAACAAAGCGCAGCACGCCGTTGCACGTGTAGCCTTGCACATGCACCCGTTTTCCAACATCGGCCTCCGTCACATCGCCACCTGCGCAGAACAGACACACGCAGGGGTTTAAAAAGAGGTTGTGATGTGGTTGTGGCAACAACACAGTCAGTCACACGACAACAGAGCAAACACGTGTGCGCAGCAACAATTGAACAGTGGGCAATGGACTCACGTTGGCGAGAGCCGGCGGGGGCATTGATGTGCTGCTCTTCGTTGTCCGTGTTGTGGTAGAGATCATCACCAAACCCAAACGTCTCAGAGTTGGCCTGCAGGAAAGTGAGGCCAAGGAGCCAGCCAATGGACCAATACATACACAAACAGTGATGACGCGCTGGCACGTGAGGACAGAGACACGCGGGTGCAACTTGAACGCAAGCGCACTCAAACATGCACATGCATGCACACACACACACACACACACACACACACACACACACACACACACACACACACACACACACACACACACACACACACACACACACACACACACACACACACACACACACACACACACACACACACACACACACACACACACACACACACACAATACACACACACACACACACACACACACACACACACACAAATTCACACACACACACAAATTCACACATAAATTCACACACATACACAAATTCACACACACACATGGAACCCCCCCCCCCCCCCATTTCCCTTCTTGTGCCTCGTACCGTGTTGAGCGGTGGACGTGCTGTCCCCGTGGTGTCATCGTCACCCATGTCGTACAAGTCGCCAGCAGCGTTGCCAGTGCTGTTCCTGGCACCAAAGCGCGCAGCAGGAAGCGAAGCGCTCGGCTCATCGCCTCCCATGTCGTACAGGTTGCTGGCATCGCCGCCGCTCTCGTCGTTCTCGCCCATGTCATACAGGTTGTCGTTGCCTCCCATGTCATAGACGCTGCTTGCGTGACCAGCATCGACACCATCGCCCATATCGTACAAATCTGCGCCACTGAGCTCCTGACGCCCGCTTGGCATCATGGCCGAGGGCTCATCGCTGCCCATGTCGTACAGGTTGTCCGGGTCGTTGGCACCAAATGCAGCACCGTCCTCACCGCCATCACCCATGTCATACAGGTCAGCGCCAGTCGCAGCGGTGGTGTCCTGGGTGTCGGCATCGTTCGCAGCGCCCATGTCATACAGGTTGCTCGCGTCGGCCGTGTTGAGGGCGGAAGCATCGGTTGCAGCGTCGCCGCCGTCGCCCATGTCGTACAGATCAGCACCAGAAGCAGCCACGTCGTTGTTGCTTCCCATGTCATACAGGTTGCCGCTGTCTGTTGGGCTCGCAGTCTTCTCAAGGGAGCCTGTGGGGTGGAGCTGTGGGGTCAAGGTGCAAAAAGCGGGTAATGACCGGGTGTAGGGGAGGAAAGGAAAGGAAGGGGATAGCCAAGGATAGAGGAGTGAAACGGGGGTTATGGGGTTTGCCGCTTCAATTGTGCCTTCAATTGTGCGTGGCATATGTGAAGTCAATGGAAACGGAACAGTTGTGTCAAAAAGCACACACACACATGCACACACATGCACACGTGTACACAGCAAACACAGGCAAACACAGGCAAACACACACACATGCACACGTGTACACAGCAAACACAGGCAAACACAGGCAAACACACACACATGCAAACACACACATGCAAACACACACATGCAAACACACACATGCAAACACACACACCTCGAGGTAGCCGCCATCGTGTTCATTGCTGGCAGAGGGGTCAGGGTGTAGCCTGCGGAAGAATTCAGCAAGCGCAGCAAACGTGGGGCGATCTGCCTGGCTCTCGCTCCAGCACGCAAGCATGTGCTCGTACACGTCGTCACGGCAGCCATCTGGCTTGGGCAGCCGGTAGCCAGCAGCAACCTCCACCCACACCTTCTGGTTGGACCAGCCCTTGTACGGGAGCTCAGCGCGTGTCCACATCTCGTGCAGGAGAATGCCGCAGCTCCACACATCCGTCTTCTCGTTGAACTTTCGCTCCTCCAGGGCCTCAATTGCCGTCCAGCGAACAGGCAGCTGGCCGCCTCGTGACTTGTAGTCTGTCACGTGTGGAAATGTGAATGAAAGCAAAGTATGTGTGAGTGTGTGTGTGTGAGTGAGTGTGTGAGTGAGTAAGGTCGCACGAAAGTCCAGCATCCAACAACCCTTCAGTGACTTCTTGACATACACATACAAGTACAAACACACACATGCACACACACACACAGAACCAGAAAACTACGCACATGTGTCGTCCTCTTCCATCTCGCGAGCGAGGCCAAAGTCGCTAATCTTGCAGCGCATCTCGCTGGAGAGCAGCACGTTGCGCGCAGCAACGTCGCGGTGGATGAAGCCCTTGCCGTGGATGTGCGCAAGACCCTCACAGCAGTCGCCGGCCCACAGCAGCCGCTTCTCCTCGGGCACGTCGTTCTTCTCCAAGTATGACTTTAGCGCGCCATGCTCCATAAACTCCACAACAACATACACCGGGTTGCCGACCGTGACCACGCCCACAAGCTCAACAACATGGGGCGATGTGAACTGCGCCGTCACGGCTGCTTCCTCAAGCAGCTCTTGGCGGTCAGCAAGGCTTGCCTGAACAAGGGGCGCAGGGAAATGGCATGTTTGCGCCAGGCGTGAGTCAAGACGTGAAAAACATGGGGGGGGGTTTGTGCCGGATAGGGTGTGGAAGTGAAAGGTTAGAGACAGACAGAGGCAGAGAGCAGGAGCGTGTGGTAGCAAGGACATGCAAACGTGTGTGTAGTGAGTCCCTGTGCACTAATTGGTTGATGCACACAAACCACACGCCTCAACACAAAGACATCACACATGGCTTACGTCTTCGTGAAGCGACTTCACAGCAACAAGGTAACCTGGAATGTTTGCATGCTCTTTCAGCATTCCCTGCAGGCAAGCAAAAGGACGAAAAAAAGCAAGCAGCAGAGGTGAGTGGAAGTGCGTTGCCTTGTGACTTTGTCATGTGCCGCCGACAAACCACACCAGACCAAACGTCAACATGGACAACATGCTTCAGCGGCTGCGTGCTTGCATGCACCCAATCCATACCTTGTGCACAACACCGAAGGCGCCCTTGCCAAGATCGCCAAGGAGCTTCAGTGCAGGTCGGCTCAGCTCGCGTGGATACCTGATGCAAAGGGGACGGGGAGGAACCAAACCAACGTGAGATCATAAAACGCATAAAACGGTCCGATGATGCACGATATCAAGTACACACACACACACACACACACACACACACACACACACACACACACACACACACACACACACACACACACACACACACACACACACACACACACACACAAATACAAATACAAATACGAATACGAATACGTACGTACAAAGTCACAAATACAATCCATACATTTCAGTACACCCATCCATACATTCACACAAGTGCGCACAAACATACGCATACAATCACGCACACAAAAGGGAACAGAGCCAGCCACAGACCTGAAGCCGTCCTCCGATGCCTGCAAATGGGCCATGAGCTGGAAGATGTCGTCCCAGTCCTGTGGGGCGCGCGACTTGGCGCGCATGCGGTTCACAAAGATGAGGACAGCAATGATCAGGATCAGCAGCAACGCGCCGGCCGCAGCCGCGCCTGCAATGATGCCCGTGCTTGCGGATGACTGCGACGCTTGCGGCTGCTTGATGGTCGTGCCGCCCGGTGGCGGTGTGGGCGCCTGCGTGCTCTGGCCAACCACCGTCACCGTGAACGTGCACGTGGCTGTGAGGCCGGCTGCATCCGTCGCCTCCACCAGCACCACGTGATGGCCAATCGCAAACGCGCTGCCAGAGGTGCGGTTCATGCTCACGTGCACAGCAAGGCCGTTGTTGTCTGTGGGCGCCACAAGCTCCCACTTGGCCACGGAACTGCTCTCACCAACAGCAGCAAGTCGCTCAATATCGCTCGGGCACACCACCGAGGGTGGCGTCACATCGTTGACTGTGATCACCGCCGTTGTGGTGACGTTGTTGCCAAACGCGTCCTCATACCGCATGCCAATGACATGCACGCCAAGGCCGTACGTGGCCGTGGCGTTGTCCCACACCAGCGTTGGCGCGGCCCATGTGCCCTGCTCCTCAGAGTTGTCGGTCACGTTCACGGGCTCCCACTCGCTCCTGACCACAGAAACCACGGCTGCGTTGGGAGGAAGCGTCTTGTACACCATGCGCGGCGCAGACGTCACGGGCGGCTCGTTGTCAACCACACGCACCTCAAACTCGCACGTGGCCGTGTTGTCAAACAGGTCGCGTGACACGTAGGTGACGACGTGGTGCGGCATGCCCGGCTCCACAACACCAAACGTGGTGCCACTCGGCACGCTGCCTGTGGTGGAGACCACCTCACGGTTGTCAGTAGACGTCGGTGTTGGCCACGACACCTCCGCAGACCCGCGGCCGGGTGCCGTGTGCACGCTAATGTCGTCTGGGCAGAAGGAGAAGAGCGGCGGTGACTGATCACGAAGCGCCAGGAACCCGCGGACGTCCTGTGAACGCGGTGTCTCCACGACTGTCGAGCCGTTGGTGGTGGTGACCGTGCTGTGGCCGAGGTTGTACTCAAACTCGACGCCAATGTAGCTGCCGTTGACCATGGTCCATGTGGCCTCGCCGCGCGCATCGGGGGCACCGAGGAAGCGGAGAACTACGGAGATGCGCGTAAAGGAGAAGGGCCGTGGCAGCTCGTCCGTCTTGCCGAACACGCCAACCAGGCCATCCTCCTCACTCGCAGCCACCTGCAATTCGTGGGGATGCGTGGGGATGCGTGGGGGGTAGTGTAAGTGGGTTGGTGAGATAATGTGGGAACGGCGCGGGAACAATTGTGTGTGTGTGTGTGTGTGTGTGTGTGTGTGTGTGTGTGTGTGTGTGTGTGTGTGTGTGTGTGTGTGTGTGTGTGTCAGCAACACGAAAATGCAAAAGGCGGCCCGCGCGGAAGCTGTCACCGCACACAGTCATGCTTCAAAAGCAAGCTCCACTCACGTCTTGTTCGAGGAGGGCAAAGTCCTTTGTCTGCGGCGCCACAGTGGACGGCTCATCGTCGTAGCGGAAATCCTCCACGCGCACAAACGCCAGGGCGTTTTCTGTTGGAATGCAAAAACAAGTGGCATGGGCGTCAGTCTCGTGGATGCGCGCGCGTGTACACCTGCGCCAGCGTGCGCGCCGCTTGTGTCACTGCTAACGAACATAAACACGTGCCTGTGCCTTGACGCGACCGTGACTCGAATGCGCAAACGCGATGTAAAGACGAACAACACAATACGTTGAACATGCGAGCGATGCCCACAGACATACCTTGCTTGCCAAAGAGGATGGCAGCGCCGGTGCCGTTTGCGAGCCAGCGCGCGTCAACCACGATGCGGGCAGTGACGGGTTGAGGGCGGAAGCGGACAACAAATGGGACGTTGGTGCTGGGCGACTCGAGGCTGAACTGCAGCTTGGTCAGCGTGGTCAAATCAGCCTGCAAGTGAAATGCACAACATGGCACCCAAAACACGAGGACAACCTGTGTGAGCATCAAAGACGACACAGAGGTACAAGAACAGTGCCTGGTCACATCGTCCCAAACAAGCATATCCACATCTACGCGCGTGCACGCAAGCACGTGCGAACGCATCCACATTACGCACCCACATACACACACACACACACACAAACAAACAAACTTGCGTACGCTCACACACGGACTTACACACACGCTCACACACACACACACGCGCGCGCGCGCGCACGAGTAAGCGCATCCACATCCACATCCACACGCACATCAAAGGTCATAATATCGGAGGAGTAGATGGGGATGGTGTGTGTAAAGTACACGAGGTCCACCACGTCTGCAACACGGCGCTGGATGGGGAACCGCCAGGTCTGCACCGTCTCGGTGCGCTTCAGCTCGTGCTCGTCCACGGTAACCAGCACGTCGAAGGTGCACGCCCGCCGGTTGTTGCTGCTGTCAACGGCATACACCGTCACGGAGTGCGGCGAATCTAGTAGATGGTATGTGTGGTATCACGTGTGTGGATGAAGGTGGGTGAAGGCACGTCAGGAACAAGTTTTCAAGGTAGAGACACCGCATACCGCATGCAAGCTGAAATACAGCACACGCACAGCACACACATGAGGTACACTTGTATGTCCATCACACACACAGACACATACCCAACATACACATGTGTGTCCATCACACACACAGATACACACACACACACGTCGAGCGCACCGATGGCGGAGAGATTGGCGCTCTGGAACGGGTACTCAATCACGGGGGACTTGTCAATGGTGTCAAAGGCAGACATGGCCGGCAAGGTAACGGTTGCCTCAGTTGCGTCGCCAACAACAGCAAACGTGCGCTCGCTCTCCGCAGGCGGGCAGGCGAGGAACTGGGGCGCAACAAGATCCTCAAACGTCACTGCACCATCCAGGTTGGCGTCTGTCTTGTTGCCGCCCTCATCCTGCAAGTCTACAACGAGGAGGCTCGGGAACGAGGGAATGAACACCATATCCTCAGGCAGTGATCGACGCCTGCGTGAAAGGGGTGAGGTGGGATGGGTTGGTGAACATTCTGCCGCATGGACGAAAGCACAGGTGTGCACTCGCGCGTTCAATTGTGCACATCTGTGTGTACAAACAAGACACAAACATTCTCACGGGCACTCCTCCACATGGGCCCACCCATAAACACACTCTTCAATGCGTGCACACAATCAACACACACACACACACACACACACACACACACACACACACACACACACACACACACGCACGCACAAAAGCAAGCTGTGCTTGCGCGTACCTGCGGGCCTGGGGTGGTGGGACAACGCCGACCTCCAACGTGACAAACTCGAGCGCCTTGGAGAATTTGGTGGACTTTGCCTCAATGTTGATGCAGCTGCAGGCGACAAAGCATGTGTGACATGATGATGAGAGACGGTGTGGGGTGGTGGTGTGGGGGTTGCCATTGATGGCAAGAGAAGACAGGCAGGCAACAAATGCAGCAGCACGCAATGTGCGCTGTCCAAGCCAACCAAACCAAAGAAGAGAAAGAAGCCAAAGACAGCAAAGAAGCACAAGTGTCCATGTGCCCATGTGCGGCACACACACACACACACACACAAGGTCAAGCACATGCGCACACCCCGCATGTGCAGGTGAGAGCAAGTGCTACCTGCGCGTGCTTGTGGTGAGGATCCATGAGCCTTGGTCCGTGAACACGGGCGGCTGAGCCACCTCCGTGGAGGTGAAACCGGCCAGCGTGACGTTCACGGGTGCAGCCACCGTGTGCCGTGGCCGCGGGTTTTGCGGAATAGGGGCGTTGGTCGTGCACCAGCTCAAGGCAACGGAGATTTCGGCCTCAACGCCCTCTGGTGGGGAGATGATGAGGGGGCGGCCACTTGCAGAGCGCACGCCGATGAAGAATGGAGATGCCAAATCGCTGACAAACGGCGCTGGGCGGGCGGTGTCGGCCAGACCTCGCGATGACAGCACAAATGCAAGGTGGGACGACTCAGTCTCACGCAGGTCAACATCCTCGGCCTCCATGAAGAAACCTTGCCGAATCGACACCTAGAGAGAGGGGGGGGGGAGAGAGTGTGTGTGTGTGTGTGTGAGTAAGTGAGAGTGGGATGAGTGTGTATGTGTGTGTAGGTGAAAGTGAGAATGAGTGAGTGAGTGAGAGAGGGAGGGAGGAAAGGGGGAGGGAAGGGAGTCAAAGGCATTGGCACCACCACGCCAGGTGGCAGGCAAGCGGATTGCTGCAACGCAGACACAGGATCAGACAACACTGGCTGTCGACTCTGTCTCTCCCTAATCCCCCTACTCTGACCCAGCGCCAACGCACCGTGAAGGAGCACTCAAGCTGGTCGCCGATGGAAAGCGCTTCCACGCTCTTGTAAGCAAACACGGTCTGGCCGACAGGCACTGTGAACGTGGTGGCGGTCGGACTAACAGGCATGCCATCTCGGTAGAGCGCCAGGGTCAGGAATGACGTGGATGCAGGCTGATCCATTGGAACATGTGCAGGAGGCAGTGATACGAGTGATACGAATGATACGAGTGATGGTGAGGCAGACGCGTGGGTGTGGTTGTGGTGACAGCGATACACGTGTGCAAACACTGTCCCGATTTCGCACACAAACACACAAACACACACACACACACACACACACGAGTGCACCACCGCCATAAACGTACGAAGCGAGGGCGACTGGCCCAGGAAACGGTGGCGTTCGTATCTATCGGCGACACATACTCGTTGATGTCGCTTGGGCAGCCAAGAAGCGCAGCCACGCGCACCTGTGATTGAGAGTACACGCGTAATGGTGGCATGTGTACGTGTGTGAGTGTGTGAGTGATTGTTGCCGCATGCGTGCGTGGTTGTCCAAGTGTGTTGTCGCGTTGGCCTTCACATACAACCGCGTTGTGCTGTGCACAGCAGCGACAAGTCCCACTTGCTACAGGCAAGAGCGGGGAAACACACCTCAAGCGTGAACGGCTGCGAGCTGCATGGGCCAAGCTGCTTGTTCAGCTGCGTGCCAACGTATTGGTTGCACTGGGGTCGCGAGTCTGTGGCGATCACGGTCAGGCGCACCGTCACGGGCGACAGCAGTGGGCGCGTGACAGTGACAACGCCGGTGGTCGAGTCAATAGCAAACGCCTCGTGGGCGGAATTTGGTTCCGCAAACTCATACGTCAGCACAGCCTTGAGCAGGAAGTGAGCACACAGAGAGAGAGACAGAGAGAGAGAGAGAGAGACAGACAGACAGACAGACAGGCAGGCAGACAGACAGACAGACAGACAGACAGGCAGACAGACAGACAGACAGACAGACAGACAGACAGAGAGAGAGAGAGAGAGAGAAGAGGGGGGTGTGGGGGGGTCAGGTCACGATGAGATGAGGTGGGAGGCATGGTGCGAGGAGGAGGAAGTGCTTGCAGAGGCAGAACCTCCTGCACAAAGATTGATGTGACCGGCGGGCATTGGAGCGTACAAACGCAGCCACGTTCGTGTAGAAATACTCACATAGACACACAAGCGGAGACACACACACACACACACACACTGACGCACGCACACACACACTCACGCACACTCACACACAACGAATATGCACCTGCTCGCCAGGGGCATCGCTCGTCGCAGTGAGGTTCGCAATGGCGGTTCCAGGTTCCACATTGATGGGAATGAGTGGAGATGGCTGATTGTTCGGGAACTCAGGCGACGATGTGATGCCTGGTGTCATGTGTCATGTGTGTGGGGGCGGCATACAATACGAGGACGTGTGAGAGCAACAAGATTGCAAGGCACACACATGCACAAGCGCAAACATCTGCCTGTGCAGGCATCGCCACGTGCCAGCGTACAATGCACATAGGCACATGCACATGCACCAGCGAGACAAGCAGACACAAACAAACACGCATAAACACACAGCCACAACAAGCATGCACAGAAACGGACAAGCATTGAGAACAGAGCGTTGCGTCATCTGAAAGACTTACGCGTGCACCCGAGGTTGTCGACAGCAAACCCTGGCTCGCAGGATTGGCATTGAGGCAGGGTGTAGAAGCGGGCAGTCGGGGCATCGGAAGGCACAGACCGATACGACGACACAAGGGTGCACGTGCGCGTGGTTGTGCTGGTCTGCACGTGCGTGAAACCAACGCAGCCCTGAGGGCGGTACTGGCGACAATAGGTCGCACACGTGCTGACGGCGTCAACGCTCAAGTCAGTGATGGTCAGAGAGGTGATGGGAGTATAATCGACAGGCTGCGCGTACAGCATCAACAACACGGCGTCGCTGCGCTGCTCCAGAGAATCGTGGCGGTTGCACACCGTGCACGCGTCACCAAACGCAGTGCAGTTGCACATGCTGTTTGCACCGACACTGCGCTGCCCATATGCGCACACGTACGACTCTAGAAAAGCAAGCAGGTGGAGGGGACAGGCAGATTGACTGCAACGTGAGAACTTGAATCGTCACACGCGTATGCACGTCATGCATGTGTGCAATATGCACGTATGTGTGCGAATGGGTCAGTATCGTTCACATGAACACCACGTACAGAATAAAAAGCTTGTCTCACATGCACGCACCTGTTTCGCAAATCACGTCGCTGGCGATGGTTGGTGGTGTGGCCACGTGCGCTCCAGCTGGGCAGGAAGACACGGGCTTGCAGACGCCCTATTGTGGGACACAGTGTGACGCA